GAGCACCTGACATTCAGATGCTGTTAGTGTGATAGGTGACTCTTGGCCAGGCAGTCTGTGGAATGTAAAGCGCTAGAAATGACAACCATGTCTTAACCATCTTGGTCCACCCAAGACTACCTGGTGCGCTCATTACGTTGTAAATAATTGATAAACTAAACATAGGTTATTGAAACGACACAGTCCTTGCCTTCTGGTGCTATGTAGCATTCACTGAGCCCTTCCCCAGTGCCGGCACCCCCTACTGCAAGTGCTTGAAAGGTATTAATTCACTTCTTTACGGCCACCTCGTGGGGAAGGTACTGTCGTACCCTTCACTTCCCAGGGGAAAAAACAGAAGCGGAATGGCAGAGATGCAGCATCCTTTGCTGTGGCTGGTCAGTCTCAGGGCTGGGCTGCCTGTGGTTCAAACCCAGGCAGGCCAAGCCAGCTCTCCTATTCACTATGATGTGGCTGAGAAGTTTCCATATTTAAAAAATATATTTTTTTAATAACCTCAAAATCAGGCATCAGAGGGCAAATTGAAAAGACAACTTCCAAGGAACCTAACTAAGCAACCTCTTTCGAGGTGGCAGCAAGTAGCCCAAGAAGGACCAGCCACTCCCAGCTCTGCCTCTCCTGCTCCGCAGCATGCAGAAGGGACGGCTGGAAACAGGTCCCCCACGTGGGCCCCCCCCTTCAGTCCCCCTACACATGTCAGCCAGAGCAGCCGAGAGGCACAGACAGATGGCTAGATGCACTAGTGCCTAGCGCCCTGGTATGGCTTTTCTCCAGCTGCCTTGCCCACCTCGTGCTGACACAGCGCCACAATCCAGTGTGACCGCTGGACACTTCCAGTGTGACCGCTGAAGTGACACTTACCGGCAGGACCTCCACAGGGATTCTGAGTCCACAGAGTCTTGAGGAACAAGGGAGCTTGTCCCATTTGATGGGACTTTCGCGCAATAGTCCCCACTGCCAGCCTCCCACCTAAGTATTCCTTTGCGAGAGTTGTGTGTGTCCCGCTCAGCCACGGCGGGTTTCCAGCTGGGACATTCTGCGCCCTGTCTCTCGTCACCCTGCTTGGTCTCGTCCCCTCCCGCAGGCTCTGGCGGACAGAGTCGGCCTCGGCTGCTCCCTGGTCCGGGGGGAGTACGGCCGGGCGTGGAACGAAGTCACCCTGCTGCACGAACGGAAGGGACTGACCGGGGCCCTGGCGCCGCCCGACGTGTACATCGTGGACCTCGTGTTCCACCCGGGGGCGCTGATGAAGCTGAGGAGTCGGGACGCCGATCTCTACAGATTTCTCTAGAATGCCCAGCGAGCATGAGGGAGTGCAGACGAGAAATCGGCTACGCTTTCGAAGTTCACCAGTGGGTTTGATTTGATTTCTTTAAATAAAAGTCTTAGGAATGTTCTCTCTGTGTAGAAATGAGGAAACTTGGAGTGAACTCTCTTGAGCTTTCAAGTTCAGGCTTTTGGCCAGAGTTCATGGTCGGCCCGGGTCACCCTGTGCTCACAGCCCTCACGTAAGGCTTGTTACTGTCAAAATTGCCCCGTTTGCTGGGGAACAGCTCTGTCCTTCAGGAACCGTATGTGTCACTCAGCTGCTGCTCCCAGGACACCACGGTGGCCTCACGGCTGTCCTTTCTCATGTCCAGGATGCTCAGGGACACTCGGTTAAATGACTCAGTGGATCTTTAGTGTCGTTAGTCACCTTGTCTCACTTTCACTAAGTAACATTTTGACAGTGTGAATATTTATAGATCTATTTTAGTCTTTACAAATGCCTTTAAAAAAATTTTTTTGTTTATAGTTTTTTAAAAACATGCCATTAAGAGCACTGTTTAGTATACTTCACTGAATTAAAAATATTTCTAGAAAATATTTCCAGGAAACTTGCATGTCTTTGTCTTTGTCTTGTCTACGTGAACTTGGAAATATACCTTCAGTCAAAAACAATTTTGATCTGCTGTTCCACATCATAATGCTGGGACCCCAGAATGTTATTTTAAATTTACAGAATTTAAAAATCTTTATTTTTTAGAAAACTTTGGAATATTAAAACAGTTCCTTTGCTGAGGAACTGTGTTTTCATTCGTGAGCACAACATAGTAAGACGATTTACATTTCAAATGGTCAGACAAATAAAAACCAGTACTATGATGAATCTCCTAAAGGGTTTATTTCCTAATCAGGCTTTCAGTCTGAAGCTGACCTGTATAATCATTTTCCTAGGTGTTTTGAAGAGAATATGATTTTAGAAATTAAAGCTAAGATTATTTTGTGTGAGTCAATCTGTAATTTTAAAGACTGTAATTCTTTATTTCAGAATAAAGTTCTTTATTTCAAATGGTATGGTAATTATATTTATCATGTAATTTCATAAAATTAGAGCATGGATTATAGAATACAAACCCATCGCAGCATTGGCAAGTCTGTTTTGATCCAGAAAGCATTTAAAGTGGATTACAAAGATTTATAAGAGGTAACAAAAAAAAAAAAAATTAGAAACAGACATAAGTATAGGGGGAAAAAATGTCCAACAAGGCCAGGAATGAGCTTAGAATTCAAAACTCATTAATGAAAATGCTACACGTTTGTTAGAGATTAAAGAGAATTTGACTCTAAACGCTCCGGTTGCCAGAGCAGAGGGAAAGGTTTTTCGCTGTGTGATTTATCCCAGTGTCCACGAGATACCAGCACGGAGCAGTTTCT